GCATGGTTGACCCAAAGTGAGCTGCCAGAGCATAGTGCAGGAAGAGAGGTGCTGAGCCCAGATTATGCAGAACTTCACAGGCCACAATAACGAGTTTGAATTTTTATCTAAGTGGAAAGACAAGTGCAATGTACAAAAAGGCCTCCAGGACCCTGATAAAATTTTTATCTTGTGGCTTTTCACATCTCCCATTTCAGTGCTCCTGTTTTTCCTTGCACATGAAATGAGGAGGCAGTGAATAATTTTTAGAGCTGATATTGTCAGATTCTGTTCCATTCCCCTCCCCTAACTGTCCACAGACTTCACAAAGATTGTGTAGCATCAGTTAAGGCAGGATGGGTCCTCAGCTCACTGGCACCCTCATTTCTCACCTAGATTATCACAACAGCTTCCTAAATGATTTCCCCCCTCCTACCTTCACTTACTGCCTTGACCATCTGGTCTCAACGCAGCAGACAGAGGGATCCTTTTAAAATAGAATTGCTAGACTTACCAAAGTAAAATACAGTATGCCCAGTTAAATTTACAATTTCAGATAAACAACAAAAAAAATAGTATAAGTATATCTCATAGTGTTTGTGGGCTATACTTATACTTAAAATGTGTGTAGTGTTTGCCTGAAATTGGAAGTCAAATGGGCACTGTGTATTTAATCTGGCAACCCCATTTTAAAGCCCAAGTCATATCATGCCCTAAACTCTGAAATAACTCATTTCATTCAGAGAAAAAACACCAAAGCCCTTAAATGACCAAGGCTTCCTTCCCACTATTTCCTCGATATTCTTGTCTCCTGTTTCTCCTCCCCTGACCTCTGCTCCAGGCACCATAGCCTGCGAGGTCATTCCTCAAACATACTGACGTGCTTTGCCTCAAGCCTTTGTAATAACCATTTCCTCTTTCTGAAAAGCCACGACCCCAGATAAAAAGGACAGCTAACTTTTCTTCACTTCCTTTAAGTTTTTGCTCAGATGTCTCTTCTTACTTGTGTGTCTTACTCTATTCAGGTTGCTATAACAAAATACCAGGACTGAGTGGCTTATAAGTAATAGAATTGCATTCCTCAACAGTTGTGGAGGCTGGCAAGTCCATGATCAAGGTGCCAGCAGATTCAGTGTCTGGTGAGGGCCTGTTCCTGGTTGGTACATGGCACCTTCTCACTGTACCTCAGATAGTGGTGGCGCAAATGAGCTCTCTGGAGTCCCTTTTACAAAGGCACCTCATCCTTGAGGGCTCCACCTGCATGGTCCAGTCACCTCCGCAAGGCCCACCATGGTGGTTAGGTTTTACAACATATTAATTTGGGGAGACACAAACATTCAGACCATAGAACTGCAGGAGGGAGAAGAATGAACCCCTCCCCCCCAAAAAGTGTCCATGTCCTAATCACTAGAACCTGTGAGAATGCTGCCTCGTCATGGTAAGAAGAAAAAGACTTGGCTGGGCACAGTAGCTCATGCCTGTAATCCTAACATTCTGGGAGCTCAAGGTGGGTGGATAGCTTGAGCTCATGGGTTTGAGACCAGCCTGAGCAAAAGCAAGATTCCCATCTCTACTAAAAAAATAGAAAAACTGAGGCAAGAGGATAGCTTGGGCCCAGGAGTTGGAGGTTGCTGTGAGCTATGATGCCACAGTACTCTACCCGGGGGGTAGCTTGAGACTCTGTCTCCAAAAAGAAAAAAAGACTTTACAGATGTGATTAAGTTAAGGCGCTTTGGAGGAGAAGTTTATCAGTGAAGCCAAATGTAATCACAAGGGTACTTGTAAGAGAGGAGGTTTGGGGTCAGAAAAGGTGGTGTGACGATAGGACCAGGTTTGGGGTATATGCTTCTGAGAGGGAGGAAGGGGCTGTGAGCCATCAGCTTCTAGAAAAGCTGAAAAAGGCAAGGAAACAGATTCTCCCCTAAGGGATCCAGAAATTCTGTAGCCCTGCCAACATCGAGAGACCCCGGGGGTGTGCCGAACCCCCAAACTGCACAATAATAAATTTGTGTTGCTTTAAGCCACACAGTCTGAGGCTATTTGCTGTACAGTAAGAAACTTCCACACTGCCCAGCTGAGATGGGCAGCACCCTCCTGTGCTTCCAATGGCCCTTCCACCTCCTGTTTTTGTATTCCATCTTCTAAAAATTCTATTTTTCCGCTTCCATAATACAAAAAACACAGAGGAGAGGCCAGCTGAGGCGGCTCATGCCTGGCGGAGATAGGTGGATTGCTTGAGCTCATGAGCTCAAGACCAGCCTGAGCAAGAGTGAGACCCTGTCTCTATGTCTCTACTAAACATAGAAAAACTAGCTGGGGCAGGACCCACAGCTCAGTGGGTAGGGTGCCAGCCACATACACTGAGGCTGGTGGGTTCAAACCTGGCCTGGGCCTACTGATACAACAATGACAACTGCAACAAAAAAATGGCTGGGTGTTGTGGCAGGCACCTGTAGTCCCAGCTACTTGGGAGGTTGAGGCAAGAGAATCGCTTAAGCCCAAGAGTTTGAGTCTACTGTGAGCTGTGATGCCACGGCACTCTACCCAGGGTGACAGTTTGAGGTTCTATCTCAAGAAACAAAAAAAAGCTAGCCAGGCATTGTGGCAGGTGCCTGTAATTCCAGCTACTTAGGAGGCTGAGGCAAGAGAATTACTTGAGCCCAAGAGTTTGAGGTTGCTATAAGCTGTGGTGCCATGGCACTCTACCTAGAGCAATAGAGTGAGACTTTATCTCAAAAAAAGAGTTTTCAGAGTGAAGACCCCACTGGCCAAAGAGACATTCACCCAAGACCAGGCCCCCTCATCTGCACCCCACGACAGACATTTTTCCTTGAGCTGGCTGGGCACAAAGTCAAAGAACAGAAAATAATTGTCAATGATCTCTCCTAGCACTTATCTCAGTTTATAATTACACACTTTTTAGTGTGATTATGTGATTAACATGTTTCCATTTCCAGACTGTCAGCTGGTGGGGTGGGGGGTCCCTGTTTGCCAAGAGTCACTTGATAAAAAAATTATAATAGCAGAGATGGGTATCACTGCAACCGTGTGCCAGGCGCCTTCTAGGAGCTTTTCGGGGACGATCATCACATTTGCTCCTCACAGCAATGCTGGGAAGTGTGTGCTATGTTCAGCCAATGAGCCGTCTTCAGGGATGAAGAAAGCAAGGAGGGGAAACTCACAGCTGTGAACGATGGACCCAGGGTTTCAAGCCAGTCTGACGTCCATATGCTCAGTCATTGCCCCCAGGCACCCCTCTGTGTGGTGAGAGAAAGAGTGGACAGACACCTCAGATCTCTCCCCAGCACACAAAGTGAGGCAGAGGCTGTGCCCTGATCAAGAAGCATGAACCTGGGCCAAGCGTGGACCTACTAATAAGTGAATTTTTTTCAACTGAATGAAGATCAGAGTATTCCTGGGAAGTGAAACCCATGTATACCAAGAGTCAACTTTCTATATATGTATACATGGGTTCAGCAGGGCCAATGGCCACATGTGAGTATGCATGGATTTGGGTATACTCAAGAGTCCTAGAACTAATTCCCTGCATGTACCAAGAGGCAACCGTAGTTATAAATTGTACCAGCATTGAAAGGGACTGCCTTATCAGGGAGATAAATTTGTCATCTAGGAAGTGTGGGGTTCCCCTTTCCTAATGACTGAGAGAGTATCTAAGTCTCAGGTTTATGCTTTTATTTTCTTTTTCTGAGACAGAGACTTACGGTAGAGTCTTCCTGGGTAGAGTCTCATGGCCTCAGCCTAGCTCACAACAACCTCAAACTCTTGGGCTCAAGTGATCCTGTTGCCTCAGCCCCTCGAGTAGCTGGGACTACAGGCACTTACTACAATGCCCAGCTAACTCTTCTATTTTTAGCAGAGATGGGGCTCTCACTCTTGCTCAGGCTGGTCTCGAACTCCTAACTTCAAGTGATCCTCCAGCCTCAGCCTCCCAGAGTGCTGGGATTATAGGCATGAGTCACGGTGCCTGGCCAGCCTTTTCTTTAATGAACCTCAGAACTTATCCAGATTCTGCTTATTACTCACTTTCAAGGCCACTTCCTCATTTTCAGGGATGGGTTATAGCAGCACACACTCCAGGCACTAAATCCATATCACTTTGCTGGGGCTGCCGTAACAAAGTACTACAGCTGAGGGGGCTCACACAACAGGAATCTGTTCTCTCACAGTTCTGGAGACTGGAAGTCCGAGATCAAGGCACTGGCAGTCCTGGCTCCTTCTGAGGAGGGAGAAGCTGCTCCTGGTCTCACTCCTTGGCATGTGGGTGCCACCTTGCCTGTGTCTTCATCTTCCTGCACATCATCTTCCCTCTGGGCATGTCTGTTTCACACAAGGACACCAGACTACTGGATTATGACTCACCTAGAGACCTCATTTTAACTCAATGGATTTTGCAAAGACCCTACCTCCAGATAAGGTCACACCCTGAGCTCCTGATTGTCAGGAATCCCACAAGCATGTTTTTGCTGGGAGACATGATTCGACCCTTCACAACGGTGTGTTTTCCACACTCTCAGCTCGTCTCCGTGGGTTCATTTACACACGGTAAGTGGCATGTTTCCTGAGGGGATGTGGAGCTCTTTTCTCTACTCCAGAATGCACAGTCACATCACAAACGGACTCCAACAAGGCAAAGTTGTTAAGTTTTCAAACCTTTAATCCCAAAACAGATCACAGCCAGGTCAGACCCTGAGATTCTTCCCCACTTCCCCCAACCCAACCCTGAGCTTCAGACCCAGAAAATGGAGGGGCCCCCCGGCCACATCCCTACAACCTACTTACTCATCAGGTCCCACCAGCCTTCCCTGGGGACCCTCGTTTGCAAAAAGCCTCTTCTAAGCCGCCCCCCATCCCAGGCAGCTCAGATACAGCCACCTAGAAAACCATATTTACAGAAGGAAAGGCTGCAGGTGTGAGAGGCAGGGGGAACAGTTTCTCTAGGCGATGGTGAGAGATTTGGAGGAGATTTGGGAGAGAGTAGAAGGGCTTGGCAGCTGCTTAAAGAAATCTCACTGGTTGCTCTAGGTGGCTTGGTGACCCCTCTTGGGACAGAGGGATTCCCAGGGCCGAGAAGGCAGGGTGAGCCCCAGAAAGCAGCCGCCCCCCAGGAGCAGGATCAGGCTGGCCCCCACACCGCAGCCCAGAGACCAGGAATATTCATAGGTCAGGGGCGGCGCCGGAGGAGGCTCAGGGTTGACCCTCTGCATCAGGGCGCGAACGGAATGCCGGAACACCTCCAGGCTTACCAGGAGCAGCAGGCCTGCAGGGAGAGAGCACAGGGTGGCCCTCAGGTCCCAGCATCTCCCCCAGTACACTCCTTTACATGCCCACTCAAAACAGAAGCCCAGGAGAGTCCTGGACACCCTTTCACTCTTGAATTTGACAAACTCAACATCTACTACGTGGCAGGCACCATTTTTGAAGCTAGTGATAAAGAAGGAAACAAGACCCAAATTCCCAGAGAAAGAAAGAGGAGTGATGGCTGCCAAGGGAGAGGAAAAGGGGGAGTTGGTGTTTACTGAGTATGAAATTTCAGCTGGGAAGATGAAAGGCGTTCTGCAGAGACAAGGTGGTGATGGCTGTATGTCAGTGTGAGTGTGACGAAGGCCACACAACTACACACTGAAACCCAGATAAAAGGCAGACGTAGAATTGCAGCTAGACAGGAGGAACAAGGCCTGTATTCCACGGCACTACAGGGTGGAGAATATGCTCAACCACAACTTAGTGTATAGTTTCAAAAAGTTAGAAGAGGCCAGGCACAGAGGCTCACACCTGTAATCTCAGCACGCTGGGAGGCCAAAGCCAGTGGATCATTTGAGGTCAGGAGTTTGAGACCAGCCTGAGCAAGAGCAAGACCCCCATCTCTACTAAAAATAGGAAAACCAACTGAGCATTGTGGTGGGCACCTGGAGTCTCAGCTACTCAGGAGGCTGAGGCAGGAATGTCCCTTGTCACCAAGAGTTTGAGGTTGCTGTGAGCTCTTATAACACCACTGCACTCTAGTTCAAGTGACAGAGCAAAACCCTATCTCAAAACAAACAAACAAAAAGCTAGAGGTGGATTTTGAATGTTCACAACCCTGAGAAATGATTAAAGTTTGAGGGGACAGATATCCCAATTGCATCTCATAAGTATGTACTGTTATTATATGTAGATCAACTAAAATTAAATGGGGGGAAAGAAGGGAAATGGTAAACTTTATGATTGGCATATTTTCCTACAATATATTTTTTTGAAGATAAAAGTCTCACTCTGTCACCCTCGATAGAGTGCTGTGACATCATAGCTCACAGCAACCTCAGACTCCTGGTTCAAGAGATTCCCTTGCCTCAGCCTCTAGAGTAGCTGGGACTACAGGTGTCGACCACAATGCCCTGCTTGTTTTTCTACTTTTAGTAGAGGTAAGGTCTCAGTCTTGCTCAGGCTGGTCTTGAACTCCTAAGTTCAAGCAATCCACCCATCTCGGCCTCCCAGAGTGCTAGATTACATGTGTGAGCCTGTCCACAATTGTAGGACAGGACTGTCCCAACCTGTCCTACAATATTTTTTTTAAAGAAAACACAGGAATCAAGAACACAAAATTTAAAAAAAAGAGAGAAACACAATTCAAACTAAGACTCCATCAAAGTTTTGTTTTAAAAGAGTGGTGGTGGTGGTGGTGGGAGGGTCACAAAATAAAAAGAAAGTCCATTTGTAATGCAATTCAACGTAAAAAAGAAAAACAGCAAAAGAGAAGAAAAAGAAGGAAATAGGTAAAGAAAACCACCACCTTCATGGAGCTTATATTCCACTCAGAGAAGACAGATAGTCATCTAAAAACCAAGGCTTGGGCTTGGTGCCCATAGCACAGTGGTTACGGTGCCAGCAACATGCCCCAATGCTGGTGGGTTCAAACCTAGCCTGGGCCAGCTAAACAGCAACAACAACAACAAAAAATAGCCAGGTGTTGTGCAGGTGCCTGTAATCCTAGCTACTTGGGAGGCTGGGGTAAGAGAATTGCTTTAAGCCCAAGAGTTTGAGGTTGCTGTGAGCTGTGATGCCACAGTACTCTACTGAGGGCAACATAGTGAGACTCTGTCTCAAAAAAAAAATTAAATAAATAAATAAAAACCAAGGCTGGCAAAACTCAAATGCCTACAAAGGCAACACCAAAGCATAAATATTACACATGAAGCACAAAAGTGTGTTGAGAACAATGACAAACAGAAGCCAAAACTGAGCGTCAGTCAACTGCAGCCCTTCAGAAATGAGGACCTAATTTGCCAGCTCTCCTTATTTCTCAAGAATAGCCAGAATTGCTTAAATAAATGATTATTACTTTTACGGAAATTTGTCCAACCTTTAAACGTTGATGCAGAGAAATCTCTATACCCTGTCTGCCAGACAAAGCACATCTCCTGGCCAGCGCTGGCCTGCAGGCTGCCAAGCTCCAACTTTCAAAGTCAACAAAGGAGGAGACAGGGTAACTTCAGAGAGTGACACATGATAGAAAGAAAACAAAAACAGGGAAAGTGACGCCTGGGGTGGAGTGGGGACATTAGATGCTGTCATCAGGAAAAGTCATCTGAGCCCAGACCTGAAGGAGCAAAGGAAGCTAGCTGTGCACAAAACTAGGGAGTGAAAAAAAAAAAAAAAAAACAACAACTAGGGAATGGCTGGTGCAAAGGTGGCTGTGGGAGCACAGAGTGTGGTATGTCGAGGAAAAGAACAAAGGTCAATGTGGTGGGAGCAGAGAACACGGAGATGGGAGAGAGGTGGTTAAGTGGAATCGCAGAGATGGGTGGGACCGAGGTTGTGTAGGACCATCTGAGAGATCCCAACTGCCCCTGGGATCTGAGGTCCTGGAGTCGCCCCAACCTCAGTTCCTAAGCCTTCTTCCTCCCTGCACCTCTTTCCCCTGTGGTTTTCAAGCAGGCATCTAGAGAATGTAGCCTGGATGCTGTGGTTCAAAGTCCCCTTTTTTGCTCCATATAGCTCAGCATTAGGGACAGGCAGGAGGTATCACCCAGCCCCCTTTATTCTTTTGCTAGTTGATTGTGTTCGTCCATTCATTCAACCAATCTCCACTGAGCTCTTGTTAGAAAGTATATCTGGACAAGACTAGCAAGGTCCCTGTGCTTCTGGAGTTTCATTCAAGAAAGGGAGGTGGATAATAACCACCTAATTGCATTGTTGTGGGCTAAATTGTGTCCCCTCCCCCAAAGTTCATGTGCTAGGGTCCTGGCCCCCCAGTGCCTCAGGATATGACTAGAGATAGGTTCTGCAAAGGGATAATTAATTTAAAGTGAGGTTGCCAGGATGAGCCCTAATCTGATACAATTGTTGTTATCTTAGTAAGAGAAGGAAATCTGGACACAGACATGGTCAGAGGAATGACCATGTGAAGACACAGGGAGAAGGTAGCCGTCTACAAGTCAGTTTCTCAGAAGAAACCAGCCCTGCCAGCTCCTTGGTCATGGATGTCTAGCCTCCAGAACTTTAAGGAAACCAATGTCTGTTGTTTAAGCTGCCCAGTCTGTGGTACTATGTTAGAACAGCCCTGGCAGACGAATACAGGCATGAAAGTACATAATTTCAGGTAGCGATCAATATTATGAAAAAGATCAGGCAGGGTGCGGTCCCCACTGGTCACGAGTCTACTTCAGAGAAGGGGGCTAATGATGGTCTCTCCAAGGTGGTGGCATCTACCAGAGATGTCAATGGTATGAGGGAATGAGACATTGGAGGAGCTGGTGGGAGAACATTCCAGGCTGAGGGAGACAGCAGTGCAAAAATGCCCTGAGAAAGGAATGAGCTTGGAGGGTCTGAGAGACAGCAAACTCAGCAAGAGATGCAACCACCTGGAAGCCAGGAGTCAACCCACAGACGCCTTGGAGCCCTGCTACTCTAATAGCAGGTTCGTCGCTGGCCTTTGATCAGGGGACAAACCAGGATCTGATTTATGATTTAAAAGTCTCACTCAAGGCCCAGCGAGATGGCTCATGCCTATAAACCTAGAACTCTAGAGGGAGGCTGAGGCAGGTGGATCCTTTGAGCTCAGAAGTTCAAGACCAACCTGAGCAAAAGTAAGACCTTTTCTCTACTAAAAATAGAAAAACTAGCCAGTTGTTGTGGTGGACACCTATAGTCCCAGCTCCTCTGGATGCTGAGGCAAGAGGATGGCTTCAGCCCAAGAGTTTGAGGTTGCTGTGAGCTATGACACCATGGCACTCTACCCAGGGTGACAGAGTGAGACTGTCTCAGAAAAAGGAAGTCTCACTTGAGCTGCTCTATGGAGTACTGACTTGAGGAGGGTGAGAGGAGAAACTCAGGGGACAGCGAGGAGGCCATAGAAATTACCTCAGGGGAATAAGGTGGTGGCTCGGATCAGGGGGACGGTGAAAATGGAGGGAAGTGTTCATGTTCAAAATATATTTTCAAGGTAGCACCAAAAGCATCTGCTGACCGAACGGATGTGAGGTACAAGGACAAGAGAGCGACCAAGAATGACTTCTAGATTTTGGGTCCAAGTTGTGAGTCAGCAAACTGCAGCCTCTGGGCCCCATTGTAGGTATTTACAGTTTTCTGGGCCATATGGTCTCTGTCACAACCACTCGACTCTGTAGTGTGAAAGCAGCCACAGACGGTACGTGAATGAATGGAGTGGCTGGAGGCCAGTGGAACTTTATTTTTGGACCCTGAATTTTGAATTTCATGTAATTTTCATGTGTTCCGAAATAGTATTCCTTTGGTATTTTTCCCCCAACCATTTAGCTCACAGTGGAACAAAAACAAATGGCAGGTGAGATTTGGCACACGGGCCACAGTTTGCTGATCCCTGGCCTTCAGACATTAGTTGTGTGGCAAGAATCTAACTAAACACCTTCATAACTCATCGCCCCCTCCCAACCTTAGGAGGTGAGTGCCATTGTGATCCCTGCTTTATGTGGAAAAATTGAAGCCTGGAGCTTGGGTCTGAGACCAGCTGGGTCTACATCGTGGACTATTTTCCTAGCCACTCCATGAGACTCCTTCCGTGATCCAGCCTGGCTTCCTCAGCATGAGCTAAAAAGCCACATGGCCCCACCGCTTCTGCCTCGTCACCAGCTGCTCTTCCCACACCACACAAGTGAAGCAGGGCTTCTTTCAGGGTCTTTCAATGCACCAAATTCTTTCCAGACTGAAGCCCTTTTTTTCTTTTTGCAGTTTTTGGCTGGGGCTGGGTTTGAACCCGCCACCTCCAGTATATGGAGCTGGAGCCCTACTCCTTTGAGCCAC